ATACCACTTAATTCTTAGATGAAAGTACACCTTACTTTTTTGGCATTGAATGAAACAATTATTTGACATGAAAAATGATATAACTAATTATGAAAGTTTATTCAACCTTGTTAGTAGAAGTTGAAGCTCTCAACATAATAACTCTTTGAAAAACTTGGCACAAAATGGTAAATTTGACTTAGATAGAGACATTCTTCATATTATACATTTGATCTATATGACATCTAATATTTCAAGGGACACATGTAGTTTTTAATTCATAAGTTTATAATTATTAAATACTTTCACATCAAATGTTGACATCCTTCCGCACCTAGAATCATACAATTTAAGTGGTGTTTTCCTAATCATATTTGGATTAAGTGTAATATAAATGGAGCTTCAAGAGGAAATTCTGGAAAATCAACTCACTACAAGAAAACAATCACCCAGTCTCGTGGTGTTGTGACGTGTTTAATATGTGGCAAAAAAAGCTAAATTGAGACGTGATTATCATGCTGCTACATGTTTATAATAATAAAAAAAATAGAATTCAGGTATTCACGTGGGAGAATGTTGAAAATATTTTTAAAATAACGCTGCGTCGTGGAAAACTTGATGTAACATATTATATATAAAAAAGAGAACCCAACTTTCATATGGGGAACTTTGAAATTGTTTTGAAAAATTAGTTTGTAGCGTGTATATCACGTCGCAAATCACATGTCCGTTCTGACTGTGCATATGTTCCGACATGGATTTCACGTCGCAACCCAACAGATCTATTTTTTTGTGACATGATTATCACGATGTTGATTTCCTTATTGAAAGACCATTTCTTTCTCTTTCACGCTTCACTTCACTTGCTTATGTTTTCTTCTCTTTCCATTTCGCTTGCTTCTGTTTCCATCCCCTTTCCGTTCCAATCTTCTTTCAATTTCAACCTAATTCATCAATTTATCTTCAAATAGTTCTTCCAATTTTTGTCAAAAGGTATGATAAATTCATCCAATTCTTTAAATATCTTTAATTTTTTATTTTAATTTTTTGTTTTTATATTATAAATTTTATGTTGATTTTTATTTTTATGTTGGTTTAAATTCTTCAAGATCAATCAAGACTCAAACTCAAGAAGATTGTTCAAGAGCTAAAAAACTTTTTGGATTATAGGTATTTTAGCTCTTTTATTTATTTGTTTTTCCAGATTTAATTATTAGGTTGCTGGTTGTTGACTGTTTGTTGTATATATTAATTTAGTTGTTTTAAATTTTAAATATATTTTTTTTTAAAAATAAATATTCCGAAAAATATATTATTTTTTATTAAGATATACTATTTTTTTTATAATAAATAGAATATATTTTTATTAACAAAAAATACTATTTTTTACTAAGATATTATAAAAGTTTTTATTTTTAATAATATATTATTAAAATAAAATATTTAAATTTATTATAAAATATAATATATATTTTTATATTAAAAATATAATATATTATTTATTAAAAACATAATATAATATATATTATATTATATTTATGTATACTTTTTATTGATAAAAATAGAATATATTATAGATTATCTTAAAACACAGAATAATAAATTTGTAAAACAATATTTATTAAAATTAGTGTATAATATATATGTTGATTTAAAACTAATAGTATGTAATAATTCATTATATATTTATTAAAAGAATAATATGCTTATTATATTTTTATTTAAAGACATTATTTATTATGTGTTAAAAAAATAGAATATGTATTGAAAATAATGTGGACGAAGAGCATGAAGAATTTGGATCCGAGGATAATATTGCATCAGATGGCGACAATGATATGAATGAAGAGCATGACGATTTTGAATAGTAAATATATATTGGTGAGAATGTGTTTTTGCAATTTTATTTAATGAATCATGTATTAAATGTGTTAATGAATATATATATTGATAAGAATGTGTTTTTTAAATTTATTATTTATGTTGATGAACATATATTAAATGTGTAATCTCTATAGATAGGTAAAATGCGACTCCGAACTAATAAGGATAATGGTAGTGGTAGTGGTAAGAAGACCCAACATCAAGCATCCGAAGGTAATAGTATGCCAGACACCTCAGTCGGTCATGTGTCCTCTCCCGCATAGTCAAGTAGATCCTATGTCCATGGTCAGTTCTCAACCACTTATATTTTAAGTTGTATTTTGATTTATTATATGTTTTTTAAGTTAAGGTTATTTTTATTATTTAGGCAAAGAGTTTGTGGAGACTAGCACTAATGACGGAGCTGGTTATAAAGACTTTGACAAAAAAATTGGGGGTTTTTGTTAACGAACGTACCAAAAAAGCTTTGGTAAGTTATTTTATTTAAATTTTTATATATTTTTTATTTAATGACAACTTTGTGGTGTGATTTTTACGTGGCAACTTAGATATTGTGGTGTCAAAATCACGTGACTATATTTCATTTATTATTTAATTTAATTTAATTTAATTCTTGTATATAACTAAGTTGTTTAAAACATATTTAACTTAACTTTTTTATTGTATGTGTAAGAAGATTATCAGATATTACTCGCATAATTTTTGGCTGAAAATCTTCAATATACTTCGAGAGGTTCATAGCCGCTTAATCCACGTTTGAATTTTTATATTTGGAGTTTAGCAAATGATAGAAAGAGACCTAATGAGTATTTTTTTGGTGCTGAAAATTTGACCGACAGCTTGAGAAGAGGGGATAGAACTTTATTTCAAAGAGTTAGAGATGGGGAAGGAACGTCACGTCCACCACAATTGACACTTGAAATGTTAGAAACAGTAAGACAATTGGCGTTAATTGAGGCAAGATGTGAGTCAGCGTAACGTGAGGCAGCGCTAACGGCCCAAATGGAGGAGCAACGCGACAGATGGAGGCAAGGGCAAAGAGGGAATCTGATATGGGGGAGAAAATGCAGAGATTTATACAATTCCAAGCATTTGATCGAAATGAAGGAGTTGGTGGTCAAGAACTGATAGATGAGGAGAATGACGATGATCTTAACATTGACGAGTTTCCCGACCCATAAGATTTATTTTATTTTTATTTTATTTTTTAATTTTAATTTGTGTAAGATATTAATTAAATCTTTTTAGTATATTATAAAATTATTATTTAAATTTTTTATTATTTTATAATTTTTTATTTGTTAATTTAGTATATTATATTTATTAAAAATAAAATGAAAACAACGTTAATTATTTTCAGTTTTTTATTTTTAAAAAAAGTGTTTTGTGACGTGATATTCACTTCACAAGTTTGTCACGTAAATATCATGTCGCAACTACTTTTAAATTTTATGACGTGATTTTCACTTCACAATTTTGTCATGTGAAAATCACGTCGTCACTCACTGTCACCTGCTATACCCTCTCTGCTCCTATTTAACGTTAGCTGGATATCTATGCAAACTGTTGGGACGTGAATTTCACATGACAAAATTGTGAAGTGAAAACCACGTCGCAATAGAGTTGCCACACGCCCTCCTGCCGCATGAAAATTCATGTCGCTAATAAAATATTGTGACATAATTTTTCACGTTGTGACTTGAATATCACGTTGCTATAGGTAGTTTTTGTAGTGACTTGGGTGTCATATTTAAGGATAATTTAGGAACATTCTTGGGAGCTTTTTCAGCTAAGATTGGAGTTTGCACCTCCTTTCAAGCTGATATTGTACAAAATCATGTTTGCTATCGAATATGCTACCATGGTAAATTAAATAAATCTCTGGTCTAAAATAACTCAATGTTGGTCATTCGTGTATTTTTTTAATGTGAATATTGTCCCTTGACATCTTTTAATTAAATGGAAAAATATTTTACACACTATATACTTCTTTAGATTAAAAGTATCTCATTTTTTTATGAATGAAAATGCAAATGCAATTAAATTAACTAATGTCGATTTTTTGTTGATTATTTGATGAGATTCACTTTCTATATGTGCATTTGAAAAAAATTTAGGGATACATTAGACATATTCAACTATCGTTATTACTAGTTGTTTAATGAGTTAGATTTTATGTTCCGGTATTTTTTATTTTTTATTTTTATTCAATAATTTAGTTTTATTAAAAAAATAAAAAATAAATTAAATAGTAACAATTTTTTAATAACAAAATATACATTTACACTCTTGTTAAGAGTTGAACCTTGTACCTTTTTTATGTCCTTTTAACTCTAAGTTGAACTACTGCTCTCAACCTCCAATTAATTAAATAGTATCAATGTTTTATAGTTTAATCATGTTATTATTATTTTATTTTTTTGTAGTTTAATCATGTTATATAGTTTCAACATTTAAATAATATCTTTATATTTTCTAATTATCTTGTCATGTTTATCTGTTTCATCTTTTTTTATTTATTTCTCTACTTAATGTGTAAATTACAAATGTTATATCTTTATATCATAGATTTGTTTTTATTATAGATTTCCTAAAAATGGTTTAAAGATAAATTCCTCACTATTTTTAGTAACTAAAATTTTATAAATGTTAATAAAAAACATTTTATCAAATTTATTAAAAATAGTAATGCATCCCTTTATCCTTGAAAAAAGATACTTGCTGTGGGGTGGCATGAGGAATGAAGACAATATATGTTGTTACTTAGCCTTATAAGAAAAAAAACCAACCGGGTTAAATTTGTTTTTATTGTTTCTCTCTCTAACTTTTTCTCATATAAACCGGTTACCTATTAGAAAAAACGCGGTTGAGAAAAGTATATGAAAACAAAGAGACAACTTTTCCTTTATTTTTTCTTCTCTCACTTCCTTGGCTTCAGTTAAAGTAGTGAGCAAATTCTGGTGTTTTATTCCTTGTTTCTTTAAAACCACCTTAGTTTTTATATTTATCACTACTTATTCCATCACTTTCCTTCTAAGTAACTCTCATCCTTATCCTAATCACTTCATTCTATGGATCTATTTATTTCATAAACTTGTTAGTTTCATCCACAAAAACATATTCACCTCAATCACAAGATGATGAATAAGATGACCAGCTCTGATCTCATAGATTCTAAGCTTGAAGAACATCAGTTGTGTGGATCCAAACACTGTCCTCGCTGCGGTCACAAGTTCGATCAAGGCAAACCGGTATGTATGGTTATTGCGGTTGTTACACTCCAAACCTTTAAACTATGGTGACATGTTTTTATTTAGCTCGCAATCTATTATTATTATTACTAAAGTTGGTTTTCTTCTTTTTATTATATTCTTTTCCTTTCTCTAATATTCTTTAAATTTGAACTGATAGGATTGGTTAGGTCTACCGGCCGGAGTGAAATTTGATCCAACAGATCAAGAACTCATCGAACATCTAGAAGCGAAGGTTGAATCGAAGAACAATATGAAATCACATCCTTTGATTGATGAATTCATTCTCACTATTGAAGGTGAAGACGGAATTTGTTACACACATCCTGAAAAACTTCCAGGTGATAAAATTTGAATTTTATAATATATTCATGTTAGGTTTTTGTTAGATATTTATTTAAATATATAGTTCACCTAATTAATTAAGTGACCTAACTTTGAATATTTTTTCAGGAGTGACAAGAGATGGATTAAGCAGACACTTTTTCCACAGACCATCAAAGGCATATACCACAGGAACACGAAAGAGGCGAAAGATTCAAACGGAAGAATGTGATTTACAAGGAAGTTCAGGAGGAGAAACAAGATGGCACAAAACTGGAAAAACAAGACCTGTTATGGTTAACGGGAAACAAAAAGGCTGCAAGAAGATTCTAGTACTCTACACGAATTTCGGGAAGAATCGAAAACCTGAGAAGACGAACTGGGTTATGCATCAGTATCATCTAGGACAGCATGAAGAAGAGAAAGAAGGAGAGCTTGTTGTTTCAAAGATATTTTATCAGACACAGCCAAGACAGTGTAATTGGTCTGATAATAATCATAGGATTGGTGCAACAGCAACAACTACCGGTGAAGGAAGTGGTGGTGAACCTAATAATGTTATCAATGCAAGAAGAGATAGTGGAAGTGGAAGTTCCTCTTCTAAGGAGATTGTAACTCATCATAATCATACTCATATCTATAGAGACGAAATTTCTGCCGCTGCTGTTGCTGTTGCTGCTGTTGGTGTCCCAACTCCTTTAACAAGCTTCTCAAATGCTTTGGATATTCAACATCTTAAATCTGATCATTTCGGCTTCATCCCATTTCGGAAAAACAGCTTCGATGAGGTATGTCGATATAAAAAACATGTCTAGTGTCTGACAACGTTGAGACTATAAGACACATACGAAGATATGTCTGGTGTCTGGCATGTTATGATACATTTATTTGATTGGAACACATTAATTAATAGATGAATGAATGTGATGTTTCACTTGCAGCTATATAATTATATGAAAATTTCAACATTGGGTTGGTAAGTAAATGCTTTTGGACAAAAAAAGATGAGAGAACATGCATGAAATTAAGGGTTAAGGAAAGTGTTGGCATAATGAATAAAACATTGCTTGCATAGACAGCAAAGATTACATGTACCTGACCAGATGATAAATCAGTGTCAGTAGTATAGTAGCTGTAGCTAACCAATGTTTCTTTACCTACCTAGCTAAGAAAATGTAACATTTATAAACATTACTAATTTTGATGATGATTGATACTATTATTGTAGGTTGGAATAGGAGAAGGTTCTACAGCATCAGGCTCATGTGATCAGGAGCAGCATCATGTAGTAACACATCATCATCATCAACATCATCAACAACAACAGCAGCAACATCAACATGAGCATCATGTGCAACAACAAATTAATGCAAACGCAGCTTTCCATATCAGTAGGCCTTCAAATCCAATCTCAACTATCATCTCTCCACCTCCACTTCACCATACATCCATCATCCTTGATGATAATTCTTATCATGTCTCAACAATCACGCTCCAAAATGATAATTTCCAGGTATGTTTTATATTCATCCTCTAAATCCAGCTCAATATGAAATTTCAAAGTATGTTTTTAAGGGAGATTTTTACTATTTTAATAAAAAATGAATTTTATAATAATAAAAAATAGATAAAAAATATAATTTTTTACATTTTGATGTAGCAAAGAACATAATTATAATAATAAAACTCAAGTGTATATGCATGTAACTTGTTGAACTCAACTTGAAACAATTTCAAGTTTTCACATTACAAATCAATATTGTAAGTATTGATTATGTAAGCTTGATATAAAAATGTCATAGATATTGTACATAACCTCAATTTTGACCAATTACACACAATATAGAGTTTCAAGAGTCCTCAAAAAAGTTGACAATAGGCACCACTTTTAAGACCCTTATATATTAACCATTGACTATGAATCAAATATTTTAGAAAATTTTAGTAGTAAGTATTAGGTTGAGTAGTGCAATTAATAGCCACTCAATATGTTGAATTTAGTTGATTATGCTTATGCATGGTATTGTACAAGCATGAAACTGTCAATTCACTTTTTGCTTGTCATGTATGAATCAAACACAATGATTACTTCAAAATTGATTGATTTCTTTTAACAATGGAACTATAATATGTTTCCACATGGCAGCAACAACAACAACAGCAACAACATCATAAACTTGGTGGTGGAAGGTCTGCGTCTGGTTTGGAAGAAGTCATCATGGGTTGCACTTCAACATCTTCTGATACTATCAAAGAGGTCACTACACAAACTACTAACTTTTTTGACTCAAAATTCTATATACTATTATAATTTTTTTCTCATAATTCCCACTAAGAAAAGAGAAAAGAGAGTCAAGAAATATACTATTAATAGAAAATAAAACAACCAATTTTTCATCTTCTTTTTTTCTCTTTATAATGTTTTCATTTACATTCAAACATAATCATGTGTTTTTGCATTCTTGGTCTTGTTTGAAATTTTTTTTTGGTGAATATCAACTTTTGACTATATGATGACATGGAAAAAAGACCATTGCATTGTTTTTTGTGTACAATATTCCTCAGAGTTTGAAATATTTTCTCATATAAAAAAAGTTACTAGTATATTATATCTAAGTTTTTTAAACCCTAATTAATGTCGGCAGGAATCATCTATGAGAAACCAACAAGAAGCAGAATGGTTGAAGTACTCATCTTATTGGCCAGTTGACCCTCCTCCTCATGACAACCATCATCATCAACATCATCATCAACATCATCATGATCAATAGAATGAAGGAGACAACAAAAACAAAGACAACATCATTGTCATATCATCATTCATGCTTCAACCATACCCTTTCCAACAAAAAAACCATCATATCCATCGTTTGTTTTTGCTCTTTTTTTCTTTCTTTCTTTTTTCCAGTTAATCAACTTCTTCAGTGTCAGAACAAGAACAAGTTTTGGAAAGAAAGTGACAAAGAACAAAGAGAAAAAGAAAGAGAAAAATTAAAGAAGAAAAAGAAAAGAAAAGAAAGCTGCTCTCCCTCGTGACAGTACAGTCATGGAGAATGACCTAAGACTCAAAGTTAAATCTGCATGAAAATCATCACTTTATATATTAATATATATCAATATTATTATATAGTATCATATTATTTATATTATTCTATTATTATTTTAACATGTTTTTTTATATAAGTTTTGTTTGTATAAGTTTTCTGTTTAAAGATATTTGTATAAGTTTTTTTTTTTCCTTACATAAAATATATATATACCATTGAGTTTGTGCATATTGTAACAATATGATAATATTGGACAAATTTAATTTGTGCCAAGCATTTTATGTATAACATATTGATTAGTATACCAAATCTATTTTTATGTTGCTTATAATATTTTAAAGTTTAGAGAGGAATCATATAACTTTTGCTTTCTCTTTTAAATATTATCAAGAAATTCACATGCAGAACCAAAGTCCGTCTTATGTTTTTGGAGGCAAATCCGTTTCATATTTTTGACGTTATTTCTACGTCAACTATAGTTTTTTTATGATAAAATAAATAGAAATTATATTTAACCATGAGTTAATCGTGACAAATTTTTGCCGATGTGTCATAATGTGTCTTGCAAGTTCTGAAAGACAATCCTATTCACGTGGAACCTCGAGCTCGAGAACCAATGTGACCTCCTTTATAATAGATGAAAATCAAAGAAATATGAGTTTCATGAACATAAGAAAATTTCTTAGAATCATTCTTCAAGCATGTAATTAGTATTTAATATTTAGAGTTATTTATCTCATTTCATGCATGCATAATTCAACACTGATCATCATCTGCAGTATTCTTTACACTACGTGACAATGTACCTATAGCTGCAGTAAATCACTACTTCGTTGGAGCTTTTACATGTTTGCCTCATAAAAAGAAATTTAACTTTAGAACATGAGTTTCAAGAATATCTTTTTGTTTCTCATGGGTCCATTTCAATTTTCATTCACCAAAAGCCACAAACGACACACACAATCTTTTAATCTTTTCAAATTCAATTATTAACTTAATACTTCTCTGAGTGTCAATTAGAGCCAAACTCATTTCAAATATCTTATGGAATATTTTCTATAATCTTTAATTTTGAATACAACATGCACATTTCTACAAACCTACATTTTATATGCAAGATTCTTTTAATTTTCTTTGTTTTTTATTTTTCAGAAAAGAAAGTGTGGTACTAGCTAGGAGACACATACATCTTTATTACTTTATTCTTCATTTGATTCCAAACTTTTAATTTCATTGCTATATTATTATTACTAGCTATAGTGTTTTTGAAGAACATGTAACATGTTAATGCTTTATTTTTTCTGTGAAACAACATGCATTAGGGTAAACTTCATAGGTAGTTTCTGAAGGGAATAATTAAAGACAAAGGAATATTGAACAGAGAAATAGAAGACAAGAATAAACTTTTTAGCATCTTTTATATATATGTCAGTGCATGAAAAAGACATATCACATACACACTATTTTATTTTATATATATAATTAGCTATATATTATTAATTTACACATAGTATATAGTAATAGTATGTGTGATCATGTGAAAATTAATACTAATATGCAATATATAATTAATTTATGTTCTTTAACATATAGTATATGCATGATCATGTGGGCTAGTTTGAAATTGAGAATATATACTTTCCACATTCTATTCAAAATTTAAAGAAGATATTAGAAAAAAGGTGATATATATATTGAGTTAGTATTATACTTTTGTAGAAGATTTTGGATGCTTTTAAAGGGAGCATTTGTATAAGCAGTTTAATAGTATATGAGTTGTTGGTATGGCAGAGATTTGGTTCCATAAAGAAGTCGCAGGAGGAATTGTTGTAGTGCATATGGCTCTTATCCTATTTACCTTTTTTAGATTCTTCCATATAAGGGTCCCAATTTTGTGTCTGTTACCTTCTATTTTATAGACCCCACTTTGCATGTTTGTTTGATTTTATTAATTAATTACAATTACAATTACAATTTCAACTTGAGTTGTGTAAGATTTTGGCATCTTATATCTCAATTTTATAGCCTTGATTTAATTTTAAGAAAAATAGTCCTTTAACAATTAGCTACAACGATATATGCAAATTTCTGAATGTCGATGGCTGAGAAGTGGGATGTTTCATGGGGTTATAAGAGATATTAAGATTCTAGAATCTAAAACTTGTTTTTAAGTTATCAGTAATGTAGATTAGAGAGTCGCTTTAAAATAGGTTGTCGATTAAGTAACATCTTGTGAGGCGAAAAGTTATGTCTGACTATAGTAATGCGGATGTGTAATGTGTGTATGACATGCGGAATCCGCAAATCTTTTTTTATTTTATGTGAGGTTTTTTCAACTATCTAGTATAGAATTTTTGGGTGGGTGGGGCAGTCTGGACCTCTTTCGCATTTGATCTTAGGGTTTTTAAGTTATTTCAAAGTCTAAATCAAGAAAAACAACAATCTTTAGGCTTGATGTCGATTTGACCTTTAGTGATATGAACTATTTGAAAAATGCGTAATAAAATAATTTGGCTGAAAGTAGGTACATTCCCACACTCCAAGTTTTGTTGTTTCTATGTCTGGAGTGGAATCCACTAAAGTGGGTTAGAATTTATGGGTGTGTGTTGCACCTCAAAAATTTTCCTCCTAATTTCTTTTATCTAGCTTAGGCTTCACATTCATTTGTATACCACCAAGACATTTGCATCAGCATAACATTCATTCAATAATGTACCTAAAGTTCAAACGATCAGTGGTCCTAAAGCTACAGTTTTTTTCCAGTTCCTTTGAGGTTTACATATCAAATGATATCTGATTCTTCTTCAATCAATGAATGTATGAAATTAGGGTGGATTAGCTAATGCTAGGGTTTCCATCAACACTTCAGAGGAGAATCTTTTGAGCTATAGTTCATCCTCTAGTTCTCAAACTATTCACCTCCAAGGCTTCTCCAAGACATTCTTTTTGTGTTGAGATCATTGGCCATTGAGGTTTGGAAATTGAATGGTAAAGCAAGGATCCATGATACAAGATGTGGTTTATGGTTTTATTGTGGTTATCTCCATTTCTTATTGGGTGGAATGTCATGCAAGTTGCTAGTGGATTTAAGGTTGAAAGTTAAAAGACTCTTTGAGAAGGAGAATTGAATTTTGAATCAATGTTTGATCATAATTTGGTTCACTTCATCAAAGTCATTTAAGACTTCCAAGATTGGAAGTGAATGTATATTGCTTTGCTCATTCGATTAAGACCCGTTCATAGATTATTCAAGTGGTTACTTTAGCTCAAGTATTCCAAAATTGGATCAAGATTTTAAGATGCAAGTATATGGATTGTTTGAAGTCAAGATTCTTTACATGGAATAGAATTTATATTCATTCAATCATCCATTGTTTCAAAGTTCCTATCAGAACTATTCCTTTTAACATCTGAGTTAAGTTTCGAATTACAATTGAATCACGCAATCTCCTTCTGCATCAACGCAAGAACGAAGGCATCCTCGATCACCTTCAACAAATCTTCTTCCAATCTGCATCATCTTCACCTTTCTATGTCAATCCGTAAGCAGTAAGCAACAACTCTGCATTCATCATCCGGGAAAGGTTCGTGAAGAACTGGTACATTATGGGTGATCGGAGAAGAAAGCATGTGAATCACGGCGACATTGTGAACCGAACTTGCGATTTGAGACGGAGAATCAGAGGTTGAAGACGAGGCTCGACGGAACCGCGATTGAAGTGAGATTGAAAACGAAGCTTGACGATGAACCACGAACAGAGTGAAGCTTTGAAGGAGAACCGTGGCTGAAGCGAGACGGAGCGGTGATGAGGATGATTCGTCGTTGAAGGAGAGTGAAGTGGTTTTTCATGAAAGGTCGCCGTAACAGGAGATTGGAACAAAAAATTGCTTATTGGACATTGCAGATTGGGCCCTAGCACCAGATTTCTGCACCACACTCTCTGTTTCAGGATGACACTCCCCTAATACTCCTTTTTCTTGTATTAGATTTAGGATATTTTTTTTATACTTTTTCTATATTTTGATGATATAAATTTACAAAATCAATAGAATAAACTTGTTAGATTTTTAATTGATTTTAGAAATTAATTTGTGATATATATGTTTAACTTCGATTATCATCACTTTGTTATTTTTAATTCATTTGTTGACTTGTGCAAGGCATTTTAAGAGAGCTTTCGATCGTTTATTTCAATTGAAGAGCATTTGCATTCCACTTTATTTGTGGATTCGAGATTTGCTTCCGACGTGATTTATCTTGATTCTCATTACATGAGAAATATACATTGCTTGTGTTTTTTGTCTGGATTGTGAATTCTTGTGCAGGTATATTGTCTGTGATTTGGATGCTTTTGATGCACGTATTGCACATGTGATCTATTTTCACATTGTCGGTTTCTCGCTATTCTCTTGGTATTGATGCTAGCTTGCATGAAGTTTCCGGGTTTCTCTACTTTACTTGCTGTGCTACAGACTTTTGTTCGTTTGATATCATTCTAATTTTGGTTTATTTCATTTCAACACTTTACTGCTCCTAGTTATCATGAGAAGCAGGAAATAAAGAGCGTGCGCTCGAAGTCGCTGTTTAAAGTCTTGTAGCAGGCACCACTTTCTGTATGTTATATGTGTTTGTTTAAAATCCAACCTTTGAAGTAGGTATTCCGCACGTGTGTTTACATTTGTGCTCGCATCTATTCCCCCGTTCCCTATTGAAGTCCTCAAAA